AACTATTATGTTATTGTATATGTTGTTGTATTTGTATTATAATAATCTTCATGCCATGAGAATACAAATATTCAATGTATTTTTACAAAGTATTGGCAATTATTATTTTCTATATTTAATGCAAGGACCCAATCGAATGATATTATCCAATAACGGCCTTATATCACTTCCAGATCATTAGATTCCCACAACGATAATTACGCCAATGTTCATCCATTAAATCAATTCCAGAAATGTGTTCAAAAATGTACAGAAAAAAATTAAATATACTATGAAAATGCATATATGTGTGTATGTATATATGTTCATAAAATAATTTCTTTTTTGTGCAAAAATTCTCCACTATTTACTATACATACATATTGTGCGGTTTTTGTATATGTATGTGTTAATGCATATTGTTATATCAACACATATGCATATAAACTCATGTATATGTATAAATTTATATAGAATTTTATCGTATAAGATTTATGACATCTGACCCTCCCCATTTTTATTATTTTACAATATTAAATGCACAACTGAAATATGTTCTAGATATATGGTATTACAATATTTCCAAAAGTACGTAAATTGTTCCTTTTTTTTAAATTTTCAAGATTCCAAATGATTATGCGATGAAAAATATCTGTGTACGATACGTATATATCTTATATAATTATAAGCCTACAAACATATATGTACATACAAACCATATGCCTGGAAGTGAAACCAAAATTTCTGTCATTTATTTTCATGGCATTTTACAATTTAAACAGGACTTTTTAGATTTTTACTTTGTTCTTAGATCTTTTATATTTTAAATTTTTTCCTTTCTCTTTTGAGCAAAAAAAGAATTATAATTTTTTGGCATTCACGATATTTTTCCTGCCATCAAATAATTTACTCGCTATTTTTCCAAGTAGAAACGTAATGTTGGTATGTAGGTTTGCATACGTATGTATGTATATTATATATGAAATTATGAAATAATACTCATTTTATTCATTTTTGAATTTGGAATGATTCCAAATGGACTGCCACAAAATTTTGAAATTATCATCAAATTTTTCGCGTTGGAACACAATAAAAAAGAAGATTTATTGTTATTTGCGCACAAAGTACATATAAATATTCACAAAACGGACTTAAACACAAACACGCACATGTACATATTTTTAGTATGTATAGATATGTGTTTATACTTGTGCAAATTTTTATAACCACATAATTTTAAAAATTATTTAGTTTGCATAGGTGATTGATTATATTTGCGTGGTTTTTTATTCATTTCTGGTTGGAAAATTTTTTATCGTTGCATTGCAATCAAATAATTTCAAAACTTGAGTTCGCTTTTACAGTAAATAGGTTTTTAATTCATTGTTCTCAATATTTTGCAGAAATATTAATTTCTCCAAGTTTCTTTGACACTTTTACTGCGCAATGGACGTCAGCAAAAACATTAAGTTGCTCTCGTGAAATCTTAATATTTCCACGTGTAAAAACGTGAAACATGAAGGATATTTTAGAACTTTGGCTTTTAGGAGTCCAAGTATTTCAATAATTTTTGCAAAAATTCTGTGCGCCGTGCTTTTTACAATACAAAAACAATCGCTTATTTCCCTAAATCTATTATCTTAGCATTTCTTCAGATATTGATATGTACATGTTATATATACATATTTCAAATGAGGAATGAAACCGAATCATTCTATAAAAATTTGTTCATTTGATCTACACCACTCCAACTTTATATTTTTAACCAATTTCATATATAATAAGACCCAAATTTTTAATATAACTAACTACACTTTCAACTTATTAATTTCATTAAACTGATAAATCATTGTAATTTCACATTTTATGCAAGATTATTAGGAACGTTAAGTTTAATATTTTCTAGTAATTACAAAATAAAGGAAAAAGTATTGCATCTTATATTGTATAACAATTTTAGTTTGAAATATAATATGTACGTGGGCTATATAATTAAGAAAACCGCATTGCCAACAAAATTTTAAAATTTAAATCTGCTTACTAGTTTTACCCTTTCCGTCAGTCTATTATGTTTTCAAGACTTGTGCAGTCTTTAAGATAGAAAAGTAGAAATCTATAAAGAAATCGGTGTCTTCAAGAAAAAAGTTTTAGGCCTATTTTCTGTTATTTATAATTTATTTTAATATTAGAAAACGTCTCATAGAAGCATTACTGCTTAAACTGTTGTTGGCATTAATGAAAGTTATCCCTCTTAATTTGTTAGAAACTCCCTCCACTAATTCAATTATTATATTCTGATAAAACTAAAAAAATGAAGTATTATTTTATTGGCCAATGTCTTGTCGTCAGAAAGTACACATATATACTTAATCAATAATTCATCATAAATTGCCTCCCTATAAGTATGCAATGAAAAAATATAATGTAATATTATGAATTTATAGTTAATGAAACATCCTTTTTTAGAGAGAAGTTTTTTCAATTACTGAAGCGAAATGTGCTAGAATACAAGCCATTAATTTTATTCAAATTTATTCTATATTTTTTTCTTATTTGAATAGCACGTGCAAAAAGTCATTCAAATAATTATTTTAAATAGAAAAGACAGAAACAAACAGAACAAAAAAATATTATGTAAGACAATGAGACGCGATGATTCTAAAACCAACATGATATTTTTATTTTATGCAATTAATATCTCACATATACATTAATTTATATCACACATATGTATGAGTTACATACAGAGAATGTATAAAATATTCACGTCCTCTTATAGTAGAAATGTATGTGAATAGAATAATTTTGTATATAAAACAAAAATAAAAAAAAATCTAATCTAAAAGAATTCGCAGTTTTTTTCTTTCATTCTCATTCTTTGGCATCATAACGAAGCAATTTCAAAAAAGAGAAAAGAAAAAAAAATTTAAAATTGATGATATATCGTTTACCTATTAAACTCCCACGTGTGCTTGACATATGCGAAGGATAAATATTTGCTGCATTGAAGTGAAGTGTACAGTGCCAAGCACATATAAAAATCGAAACAAAGAGTTAAACTTTAGCTATTGGTTTTCATTTTGTTTTTATTTTTTTCATCTTTTCCTTTTTTGCTTCACTTTCTATTTTTTTTTTCATTCTATCGTTTTTCTCTGTTTATTCTCTTTCCATTTCAAGGATGTGTGACTTAACTGAGTTGGTAATATGGTGTATATGGGTATGTCTACTTATTAATGCATAACATGGTATTTTTTTTATATTACAAGACTTGGAATCGTTTATGTATATATGCATATATATATATATATATATATGTGATGTGTATGTATTTCTTCATGTTATACGAACGTAATTTAAATAAAAAAAGATAAGGACATCGCTAATATCAATTAATTAAAAGAACTTAACAGATTATTGACTCTCATCGAAATGCATGTATGTCGTTACTCGTTTCTAACTATCAAATGTGTTCTATAATGTTAATTTATCTTATATATATATATATAAGAAAGAGTGATATCAGTATTTTTCTATCCTTTTATAATTAGAGTTTTAGTTGTGGTTAATTTGTGTATTTGCACAAACATGATAATATGTACTTACATTGTATGAGTAGAATATGTTACGGTAAAAGTTCATAAACGAGATTGTGTTGTGAAATTTGAAAATTCATAATTAATTCTATAAAAAATCTGGAAGCTTTGCATTCTTGCCTTAGACCTTTCGAAATTATTTGAACTTTAAAAGACTATGAAAAAGCCATAAAATATTATTTTAATGATTATTTACGTTCATATAAGAAGAATCGTATGAAAAAGTTAATTTAGGGATCAAGTTGCTTAAAACGAATGCTAAGTACATATTTAAAATTCCTCCACAATTCATAATTCATACCTTCACATGACATAGCTCATTGACTATGAGAATTTGAGAACGAGACTAGTCCAAATTATTTTCATTACATTTGTTAAAACTTAATAAGAAATACTCGAAAATTTGAATGATATCTGTTGTGGAATATTATGACATTTTTGACAACGGTGTCATAATTGAAATGTTTTTCAAATTTCAAATTAATAAATAGTTTTTTCTTAAATCTTTGTATTTTTCTTCAATGTCATATAGCCAAAAAAAATTCATAGCAAGTAGCCGTGTAGAAGCCGAAAATTGAACTCGATTGTACACACCAATATAAAAATTTCACTCGTTTCCTCAAATTTAATTGTTAAATTTGGATCAGTGCTCGAACTCGATTTAAAAACTCTATAATTTCAAAATCAAATAAAAGCTTTTTTAAAATTATGGATAACATCAATCGATCTATTAAAACTGCACATATCTTCGGTATAGTGTATCGTAACATATTCACTTTTATGGTAGAGCACATAACAGTTTAACTCTTACAATTTTTCTTTCGTTTAATAAGTGTTTGCTCAGACCATAATTAAATGATGTCACTTGAACTGCAATATAATTAATGCAATTATTAAAGATGAGTGATAAAATAGTTTAATGGAATTTTTGTCTCACATCTTTGTTATGTAGCAGACTAAAGTTCTTAAAAATTCTAGAACCTTATATTTTTTATTTGCATAATAAATCTCTTTATTATTATTTTAAACTTTTTTTTTGCATCCACTTTGTAAATTTATCTGAGGCTTCTAAGGAATAAGCACGTTTTTTTTAAGAATATTTTTTGTAAAAATATGTATATGTACTGCTTTTATTTCACGTATTCGTGCTTAACTTTAGTTTTAAAAGCATTAGCTAAAACTTTATAAAAAACGTGCTTATTATTTCTACTTTGACTGTTGGTCTATTAGTATATTAGTTTCACATCAAGTTTCTATAACTGCATGAGTTGAAGAACAAAACTTTTTTATTATTTTAGTAAAAGAAAATAAGAAACTTGCATAATTTTTAAAAATCTTAAACGATTTTCAAAACTGAAAATCGACAATTTATTTCGTTTGTCTAGAATACTCTCAGTACATTTTACGTTAATATGCACTGAACCTTACTTGAGCAACAACTAAGGCCATTATATGATCGTTGATTCAATTACCAGGCCAAAATGTTTTGAATGTTTTCTTTACAAATGGTTCTTAAACGTATATGCATTCGGAAATATTAATACAAAAATAATAAATTTCATTTGAAAATCACTCAAAAATATGAATTTCTCTTGACAATGTGAATTTACTTCTGGCCGAAATTCTAAATTTTTACACGTTTTCAGCCTGAAATTATAATGTCAAATGAGCTTTTCTAAAACCATTGATTAGAGCTAAGCTAATTTTGTTTTTATGTTACAGTTTTGATATTTAATTAAAAAAGCTTAAGTTATGTGGTTGATTGTTTTTTGCTTAAATGCCAATTTATCTGAACGATTAAAACGTCAAAGCCTCGAAGTGTTACTTCTGCACGGTATATCAACGTTAAGTATTTTGTGGTATAAGCAATAATATTCAACGGACTTTTACTATAATTTACAGGTCTAAATATCTGGAATTAAATTTCATTTATTTAATTAAAATTAATTGCATTTAACTTTAGATTAGATTCAAGTATATTTTGCATCTTTAGATTAAAATATAGTGATTGTTTTTTCGGACTACAAGTCATTTCGTCACAAAAAAAACTAATTTCCGGCTTCCAGAAACAGAATTTTCTGAAATTTTATTGAAATTCAATTAATTAAAATTCCAATCAAATTAAATTTATGTAGCTCAAATTCAATTGCAGTTCAAATTGCAAATATTAAATAGCTTAAATTAATTAGTTTTTAATCGATAACTACTGTAGCAAATGGTTCTTAGTTAATTAACTTACGTACAGATATTTAATTTAGTTTTAAGGGAAGAAAACATTTTCCGTTATTCCGCCCCATGTCATAATCAAAGTTAAATCATAAAATTTTAAAATGCGAAATTTAGAAAGATTTTAAAGTTCAAAAATGTAATTAAGTTAACCAGTTATTCGCGTTTGCGAGTACAATGCATCTAATATACTCGTAAATGCAATCATATTATGCCTATTTACTCTGACTTACAATAGTGTTATATATAATTCAAAATTTTTAATGTACTCGTATGTGAATGTATTTCATATTTCAATCATTTCGGTTTACAATTTTTAATAAAATTTTCCACTCGTGTAATATTAAAAGCATTGAAATTAAACCAGTTCATGTCAAAATTTTTATGAAAATTTTTTCTTTTAGGATTTTCGTTACGAAGAATTTTTTAAAGAAAGTATTGTGATCGCATCAAAGTCAATTATCAAGCAAAATATGGAATCCTAACAATTGAACATTTTTCTACATGCACTACTTTTATCTTTTTGTTTATTTCGAAGACAACTATTTAGGATTTCTCGAAAATTCATTTTTATATTCGGTTTGTTTGTTAAGACAAGAAACTGGTCAGTAAACTTTCCAATGTAATCCCAAAAAATCATGCCAAAAATTTATGTTCTTGTACTGTTCACATCGAAATTTTTTGTTTTTTTTTTTTATGGGATGATTAATTTCGGCATATAATAATATTTTAATTTTTAATCATATTTGATTATAAAATACGATTTTGTCAGCATTTCTTTTTTTTTTGTTATACAAATCTCATGAGATTTTTAGAACATAAAAAAATCCTTTTTCCTGTGTTATTAATAATTGTATCTGGTGAATTTTATTCAAAATCTAACTAAAGTAACGACGTTGATAAAAATCTTATTATAATGAAGTACCCATTTTTAATGTGATAATACACTGCATGACTAAGTATACATATATGCAGTATAATATGCAGATGAAAATTAAAGCATACACGTACGTAATGCCTACATACACATGTGCTTATATAGAGAAAATACTTACATAATACTATTATATGTATAACATATTTTATTATATCGACAATGAACATATCCACAAGGACTCTTTAATTATATACTTGTAACTTGTAACTTTTTTTTTTTAAAAACTTGTATAATATAAAATATTTACTTGTGTACATATATAAACTTTTAAATTGTTATTGAGTAAAAATGTGTATGTATGCATGTATTTATAGTTGAAGTACATGTAATTTCTGGATGATGACGATGTACATAACATTAAATAAAATGATAATGTATATTTTAAAATCAAACACTTCTGTTCTCCATATATACACACTTCATTACAATATAAGTCAATCTATATTGGTTTTACATCTATAATATAGAAAATAATCTTGTTTTAAGTGTTATGGAAGTTTAAAGTAAAGAATACTCGTTTTTCTTTCTTAACGCTTCAATAATAAGTATAATTTATCGACGAGTATGGAACGAACATACATACATAGATTTGTAATGGATTTTCATTTCTTTAAATTTAAAAATATTATCTTACAATTTTCACTGGAAATTCAGTGTTTACAAATACAAAAGCATGTCAGTATGGGAAATTAATGTTCATTGATTGTACTGAAAGGTTTTAAACAACCATATTTTTTCATTTAATATAATATGATGTTGAAAGAATTTTAAATAAGTTTTATAATATTGAAACTTTAAAATATAATATGAAAATTTTAGTAGAATACGTAAAATTTTTAAATATATGTTCTTTTTAAAAAAGAAATACAATATTGATGGTGTAGAGTTTAGTTATACTTAGTTTCTAGGAACTAGATAATTTCAAAGTTAACTACATTAGAACTTAAGTATAGATATAACTGAAATTTCATAGTACCTTTTACAGTACAGGTTCATAAATTTATAGCTGATACAGTTTGGAATATAGGTTGAAGCTAGAATGCGTCGAAATAAGCATTCGTATATTTTTTTCGCCTACTTAATATAAGGCTACGTACTTACTTAATTATGAAATATAACAGTAAAATATTTTGATGTATACTTAGACAAAACTTACGCTTATAATAAAACGTGGTTCATGTTATAAAAATGAAATTACGCAGTTTATTCTAAAGTGTATGATGAAAATTTATTCTTATTGTTTTAATAGATGCTAGTTCGTTATGTAAACACTATAATTAAGACATGAATAAATGTTCAAATACAGGCAATCAAATTGTAACTACGTTAAGTTTACAAAGAAAAATAATGAGTATTAAAATTACGCAAATAATTTTACACATTCAAAATGTAAATACAGAATTTTCTCACTTTGATTTGAAATTTAAAAAATTCTTTAAGTTTGGACTTATACTTAGCGTAATTCACATTTATGATTGAGTCATTTTTAGCACTTTTCCAAAAAAAATTTGAATTTTTTTTGCTTATTAGTTTCACTCTGTCCGTCCGTCCGTCCGTCTGTCCGTGTGACTGGTTACAAAACTTCTACACCCTTGAAGATAGAAAGCTAAAATTTTATGTATACATAGATCTTTACTAAAAACTTATTTCCGTATAACAAAATTTTTACCTATCTCCCCCCCCTCTATAAGTGATAACCCCCCAAAACCCTAAAAATGACCTTTTTTAATTATTTGTTGCAATGAAACCATAAGCATTTTTAAAATTTTGCAAACTCAAAAAAGCAATGGCTTGCTTCCCCTAGCGCGGTATACTATAATTAAACTTTAGAAAAACAAAATGGTCATTAAAATTTACCGTTATCTAAAGTCCTTTTTTTCCAAATTTTTGATGTCATTTTTCTTCTAAACCCTAGCCTGTAGAAGTTTGAAATTTAAGGGGCTTTTAGAAATTAACAAATAGTTCATTTCGTCAAAAGAAAATTTTTTTCCATCTCCACCCCCTCTCAAGTTATCGCCTCTTGAAATTTGTAAAATTTGAATTTTTGACATCCCATATTTCCGAAACAGCAAGCTTTTTCAAATTTCTATAAACGTAAAAAGTTAACGGTAAATTTCATGACAGTAAAAAATACAATTAACCCTTAAAATCGAGCATTATGTTAACCCATCTTTATATTAATTTTTGCTTTATTTCAAAGACTGAATAAATCGTTCATCCTAAATATATCCAGTCCTAGAAATAATTTTGTATATGAATGAAAATAATTTTAATAGTGTGATAGGCGTACATAGACTGTATTTAAAAGCAGAATTTTCACTTGTTGAAGTGAAAAGTGCTACAATACAAACCATTGGTTTGACTCAACTTTTTATTACAGTAACAATTTGTTTTGAAAATAAGAAAAATTAATTTAAATAATTTCTTTTTGAATTCACACCTCATATGTACGTTTAGTCGAAAAATATTACAAAAAACTGAAGAAAGAATTTTCAATCAAGATCGACTTTTTTCAAAACTATCAAAGCGCAATAGATTACAAAACAAAAGTTATGTAATATTTCAATTTCTATATTAATTTATAATAATTGGAGATTGTTCAAATAAGGAGAAATTTGAGAAAAGTGAAAAACAAAGTTTATAAATTCAATAAGTAAAATTACAATTTTTATTTTTTCAAGATTTTCTTTCCTAAGAGAAGTATTTTGATTTAAGTATTCTTTATACAACAATATTTAGTTATTAAAGCCACAATACCGAGTGCTACAAATAAGTACTACAATAAATTTGCATTACATAATCTTTAAATCACAGAAAAACCTATACAAGTATTAAATTCCAAGGTTCTCAACTATACAAATAAAAATTATGGCCAATATGTTCCAAATAATGTTTTTAAAACCAAATTCAAATTATTTTTGCTTTTATTTTTTTAAAACAAAAACTGGGTAATAATCAAATGTAGTTGCAACTGTTCCATTAGAACTGTAAGATTTACAAATCATGAATTTCGTTTTTGCAATATCACAAAGTAAACCTTGCACATATTTCTAAATATTGTAAATATATACTTTTAAATGTTATTGTTTAAGCAAACCAAATGCTGTCTGAAAAACAGTAAAAACAACAGAATCCCATATATTTTCAATAAAATTCATTTATATTGATTTAAAATGCATAAATTTTTTTTTTGTTTTACATTCATTATATTTATTTGTTTATGTGCACATTGAATAGAATGTTCTTAAAAGGATAATATTTCTTTTCATTTCAAAATATTTTGCAG